CTTGGTAGAGTATGAAACTATTTTGGCGGGAAGCTTATGTTCGATGGATAGAGATTGAAATTTTTTTTCGGTTCATTTTATTTCAGGAAAAATTGGATATGGCACTGTGAGTGAAGCTCTTGCGTACAAGTTACCTTTTGTCTTTGTACGCAGAGATTATTTCAATGAAGAACCTTTCTTGAGAAATATGCTTGAGGTATGAATATGATCCCCTATCTTACAAAAGAATAATATTAATTTCATTTGTTGAACACATGTCATGTTGAACAATGATGTATACACAACACGTGTCGTGTGCACAACGCATTTATGTTCAACAATGATACAAGTAATTTAGGGCCGTTTAGTATCCTTCTTGGATTCAGTTTTTTTGTTTTTAAATAATTGATGAATGCAGTTAAATTACTCGAGACCCATTAGTTTCAAAAACAAAAAATTTGTATCCAAGAATGATACCAAACAACCCCTTATATTTTGTTGAAGTCTGTGACCCATTGATTTCCGATAGTAAGCATGATTAAGAATCTCTTTCTTTCCTCTCTTATATTCTTGTCAAGAATCTGATACTAGTTGGGTTTAAAATAATCTCTTATAACAGTATTATCAAGGTGGAGTTGAGATGATTAGGAGGGACTTGCTCACTGGTCACTGGAAACCTTACCTTGAGCGTGCAGTCAGTTTGAAGCCATGCTATGAAGGAGGTATCAATGGTGGTGAGGTACCTTCATTGTTTCTGGAATCCTATGATTAGTTATACACTTGTATTTTGCATCTGTGTGGTAATGTACAATTTGAAAATTATAGGTGGCAGCTCACATCCTGCAGGAGACTGCTATTGGGAAAAACTATGCATCAGATAAGGTAATTGAACTTTCAGAATTGGTAATTTTAAGAAAAAGAAGTATAAAATCAACTTGTCAGAACTCAATACCAAATAGTTTTATTACCACTATCAGTCTGACACAAATTTTGTGTGGAAACTAATTAGCCAAACTGTGCAAAGCCAAAAATAAAAGGTCTAAGGTTGGTTGGTAGAAGACTCATTTGAATAACTTGTAAAAAAAACTACTATGTTTCAATGAAATAAACTCACATTTTGATTCCCCTTTTCTCATACTAAAATGTAGCTAAGTGGGGCAAGAAGATTGCGTGATGCCATAATTCTTGGGTATCAACTACAAAGGGTACCTGGACGAGATATGGCAATTCCTGAATGGTATGCAAATGCGGAAAGTGAACTTGGAATTGGATCACCTACTTGCGAAGTGAGCGAGAAGAGCTCCCTAATGAACTCGTGAGTTGCATCTTCTATCACTCTTGTTTTTATGCAAGAATTAATTGGATACTTCATATAACATCAATGCAACTCTATTTTTAGATGCACTGAAGACTTCGAGATTCTTCATGGAGATCTTCATGGTATTTCAGATACAATGACTTTTTTGAAGAGCTTGGCAGAACTAGATTCTGTTTATTACTCTGAAAAAACTACTGAGAAGCGCCGGGAGTGCAAGGCTGCAGCTGGACTCTTCAACTGGGAGGTCTCACTTGGTTCAACTAAAATCTCATAGGCTTTGTCTTAAGTTTTAAATTTTTTATAGCCATATCAGCAATGCCAGTATTGTTTAGAAGTTTGGCTGAGGAAAATTGTAGATGTTTTTCATATTTTTTTCAGAATTTGAACTGTTTTTACAATGATTTTTCTGAGTAATTGTAATTGATTTTTGGGACACAGGAAGAAATTTTTGTGGCAAGAGCACCTGGACGGTTGGACGTAATGGGAGGGATTGCTGACTATTCAGGAAGCCTGGTCTTGCAGGTTTGTCTCTGTATTTGATGGATATTTATTGTTCTGTCTGCTAAGCCTACTCTTGCCACTCGGTGCAGCATGTGTGCGCACTCTCACTGGCACACAGACACACACATCTGTGTACACATATTGTTGAAAACAGAAACCTAGCATTCAAACTAGACTCATGGGACAAAAACCTTGTCTTTCCTCCTGACGGTTTCTTCTGATGTTTTCTCTCACAGATGCCGATAAAGGAAGCCTGCCATGTTGCTATACAACAAAATCATCCAAGTAAACATAGGCTCTGGAAACATGTCCTGGCCCGGCAGCAGGCAGAAGGACGAAACCCAACACCTGTCCTGCAAATTGTAAGTGTAAGCATTAAGAGTCAATAAGTCTCTTAAGTATAGGAAGTGGGGTTGTCTTTATCTTTGGGAAGTGAGAAAGGTTTAGACTGTCGATATAGTTTCTCCTATTGATACAATAACATCTGGTTGTTAATTTTCAAAGTTATCCCAACAGCTTATGGAATGATGCCTGTGTGTAGGAAATACCTTCTTTTAAAAATAGAAATAAATATAATTGTCATTACCATTACCATTTTCATATATTGGTTGTATCAGGTCTCATATGGTTCAGAGTTAAGCAACCGTAGCCCAACGTTTGACATGGATCTTTCTGATTTTATGGACGGAGATAAACCAATGTCATATGAGAAGGCAAAGAAATACTTTTCACAAGATCCATCCCAAAAGTGGGTCAATCATCCTTCTTCAATTTTTCTGTATCTGTAGCTTTGTAAACTACTTACATGGTTTCAATTTCAGGTGGGCAGCATATGTTGCAGGTGTCATTCTGGTTTTGATGATAGAACTAGGTGTACGTTTTGAGGACAGCATCAGTTTGCTGGTATGTGTAGGCATTTTTGTTTAGAATACGTTGATTTGTTCAGTTGATATATAGCGTACTCTAAGGTTGCTTACAAATAGCTTACTGTCATATATTATGACCATAATGTTGACATCTCCACTTGCAATAACATACAGGTTTCCTCCTCAGTCCCAGAAGGCAAAGGTGTCTCTTCTTCTGCTTCTGTGGAAGTCGCTACCATGTCTGCCATAGCTGCTGCCCATGGTATTTTCATTATTCAAATTAGCTTTTTTTTAGCTATTCTAATTGTATATTTAAGAACAACAGAAGCAGTCCTTTTTTGGTGCTTACATAATACTCATTATGTGTTAAAATTTATTATCATATAAAGCAATGGAAAACAAAATTACTGAAACCGACCCTGTGCTTTGTAGGATTAAGCATCAGTCCCAGAGATCTTGCGTTGCTTTGCCAAAAGGTTGAACCTTCAGCACAGTATATAATTAATGTAGACTGCTTTTCTTTTGATATTTTCATTGTGTTCATAATTTTGATTATTCTAGTTGTATAATGTATATTAGGTGGAGAATCATATTGTTGGAGCACCATGTGGTGTGATGGACCAGATGACATCTGCATGTGGTGAAGCAAACAAGCTTCTTGCGATGGTGTGCCAGGTATCTGCTATTGATGTTGCAGAGAACAACCATCTTGCTGCATTTCTCATATAGAGATATTATGTCATTTATTTTTTTGTTTGATTCTCCCTACAGCCTGCTGAGGTTCTTGGACTTGTAGAAATTCCTGGCCATGTTTGCTTTTGGGGAATTGATTCAGGAATAAGACACAGGTTATCAATGACACATCGTCTTTTATATATCAACTAAACTATCTTTAACCTCATTACCAAAATCATACTTTTTGGCCCTAAAATCAAATAAGGAATTGTACTTGAGTCTTGCCGTTTTTCTTCTTGTATAGTGTTGGAGGTGCGGATTATGGATCTGTTAGAATAGGTGCCTTTATGGGTCGGAAGATGATAAAGTGCGCAGCATCTATGATTTTGTCTCGATCATCATCAACTGCATATGGGACAATCGATGAGTTGGAGGATGATGGTTATGAACTACTTGAAGCTGAGGCTTCGTTAAATTACTTGTGCAACCTGCCACCTCATAGGTAATATTCTCCACCAGGACTTTTAAGAAACTCGTTAAATATTAAGGTTCACTTACTGGCCAAAAAACAAGGGCGAAGTTTTTAGCTAAATACCTTACATCTGTATTAATCATGTAGAAGTTTATTTATATTTTCATAACTTGAATTTCAGATATGAGGCTCTTTATGTTAAGGTCCTTCCTGAAACTATACTTGGTGAAACTTTTCTTGAGAAGTATGATGATCACAACGATCCAGTTACAGTAATTGATCCAAATTGTAGCTACGTAGTGAGATCACCTGCTAGACATCCTATATATGAAAATTTCCGGGTTAAGGTTAGTACCGGAATATTATATGACGATACTTTTGTTTCTTGTTTTATGGACTACCATTCAATCATCTAAGTTATTTTTGGTATTTACTTGACGTGTAGACCTTCAAAGCACTGCTAACATCTGCAAATTCAGATGATCAGCTTACAGCTCTTGGAGAATTACTGTATCAGGTATGTACAAGTTTCTGATTTTGCAAGATGGTTGAAGAAAACTTGAAAATTAATGCGCTAAAACAAGTTCTAGTTTGGGCGAGTTGAAAGATCATTTCTATATGCCAGTTACCTGCTCGTGAAATAAAGAAAGAACGAGATGCACACCCATAAATCGGCTTGTACTAGTTAGCTAGCCAGTACCTGAACATAATCTTCTTTTGCAGTGTCACTACAGCTATAGTGCTTGCGGACTTGGCTCCGATGGAACAAATCGGCTTGTACGGTTGGTACAAGAGATGCAATATGCTAAATCATCTAAATCCGACGATGGGACGTTGTATGGAGCCAAGATTACAGGTGGAGGTTCCGGTGGAACGGTTTGTGTTGTCGGAAGGAACTGTCTGCAGAGCAGCCAACAAATTTTGGAGGTAATTCTATCAGGAAGAGATTTTTTTATTAAGATCATTACTGCAGTAGCGTAATAGATTTTGACCTATGCAGATTCAGCAGAGGTACAAAGATGCAACAGGGTATCTGCCATTTATTTTCGAGGGCTCGTCGCCTGGTGCCGGCAAGTTCGGGTATCTAAGAATACGCCGCCGTGTCTCCCTCGATCCAAATGAGTAATGTATTGGAGTATAAAATGTCTTGTAATTTGCCTTAATTTAAGGCTTCTATTCAAGGATCACATTTGGTACAACTCTCTTGCGGACGTATAAGATTATTCCAAGTCCAAATAATAGTTGTTCTTGATCAATGCCTCAAACAAGTACAGAAACTTGCTTCAATTATTACGATATACACTGAATACGGATCATAGAACGACAGATGATGTTTATACGGATTAGAATCTACAACTGAGTCTAGGATTATGACGCGGGCGGATTCTCGCGATCCTGCTGAAAGAACGACTCGTATGTTGCAACCCTTGGCTTTGCTTCGGGCAGCTCCAGCTTTTCCATAAAACCCGAAGTCATCTTGACGAAATCTTTCATGTGTAGTTGTTTCCATTCCTTCTCATTTTAAAAGGATCAAACCAACCAAGAAAGTCAGACAGAAGTAAAAGAGAGCGCTAATGCTAACCAAAATCGATTCTATATTAGGTTCTCTTAAGGGTCGTTTGATAACCATTTTGTTTTCAGTTTTCAATATCTATACACGAACTCGAACAGAAAAGTAACTTTGTTCCATTTCGTTTACTTATTTTGTTTCGATCCTCCTAAGAAGTAAGAAGAAAGAAGAGTTTACCTCGAAATCCCAGTCTCCGTACAAGTTCGGATCATTTTTGTTGCTCCAAACGTATGCTTGAACAAGCAAGCTCTCAGAAGTATCCTGCAGAAAAAAATTGCCGCCCTCCATCAAATCCACAAAATTTGTTTGGATCATTTTAATGAAAATATTTTGAGACCAATTCTTAATAAAAAAAATGCAAGCGAAATAGCACTTTTAAGTGCTTTTGGAACCCAAAAACGTTTCCAAATGCCCTAAACCTTTCCCAAGCAGTGTCTTCAATTTGATATTCTCATAGCATTGTATTGTGGGCAAGTAAATATTTACAATCGAGTAAAAAGTTGAAAAGTGAAAAAGCGAATACCATCAAAGAGACCTCAACAGTGCTTCTTTCATACTCAACATCCTCAAATTCATCTAAAATATGTAATTCAGGATCTGTGATGCCCAACAGCACCTGCAGAAAACACACACAAAAAACTAATTTGACGTTAAGTATGTGATTAATTACGTCATCTAAACTTGATTAACAACGATAACTTGCCTTGCCGGCAACTGTTTTATTCTCGACGGGTACAATCGCCGGATAAACTCTTCCTTTGATGCTGTACCTATGACTGCACGTTCATTTCCACATCAGAATCATATCATATCATCGAATTGTATTTATCTGAGAGAGAGAGAGAGAGAGGGAGAGAGAGAGAGACTGACTAGCCATTGAGGAGGGCAGGGGAGGATTGAGGGACGCGATTTAAGAGGACACGGCAGACATCCTCCGCCATGAGGCTGCCGTACACGAACACCTTGTGGAGGCTCTGCGACTGACCACCAACGTTCGCCACCACTGAACTCATCGCACCACCACTCATCTCTCTCTCTCTCTCTCTCTCTCTCCCTCCCTCGAATATTGGAAGTGTGAAATTCAGGTGGTCAATTTTTCAGCTCATCATAATTATTCACCATAGCATATTACAACCACTACACGACAATGATATCATTATTTTTTTTATTTAAATTTTTTAGATGCCTTTTGAGAATGAATACGATTGGTCGTCATTTATATGATGATAATGAAGTTTTCTACCTAGAGCATATGTTATATTCATATTCTTTAGGATCCGAGTCCCATAAACCCAAAGTACAACAGTTAAATGTCACTAACCACTTGAGTCGATTGCGGATTACACAACATTTTAATGTGATACTTTTATGTTTATGAGACAAGCGCGTTAAGACGCATTTGGTACCGGGGATTCCATTGTCAATTTAAGTAGTTTCGTGAAAAAGGAAACGAAAGAAACAAAGCAAACGAGACAATGCACGAACTACAATAGTTACAATTTAAGCATATGTAGGTCGAAAGGTCGAACCAACGTACAACAACTAAATAACAAAAGATGAGCAATTTTCCAAGATAGGAGTTGAACACCATATTCCTCCTTGAAAGCAAGAGTTTGATGAGTTAAAGAAACTAATAGAAAGTAGCCGGACTCCTATCGGTTAGCAAGATCTTCATTGTGTGTTCATCGGCTCCGGACTAGCGGAGTTTAAGATGTCCAATAACGAGTTTTGAGGCTCCAACTCCTCATGCCACAGTGGAAGTTTGTCACCAGGATAGTAGTTTCTAGTCACTCCCTCGGAATTGATCTGCAAAACCGCACAAATGAAACGGAAAGAAAGGGACTTAGCCAATATATGGTCTTGTATGTTCGAAACAAAAATACTAATCTGATTGCCTAAGTCTCAAATAGAGTTGAGGGGGAAAAAGAACATACAACTACAGTACGGACAACACCCCCACTGGCACCATCTCGTGCAATGGCAAGAGAAACGGCCTTGACCACCAATTGCTGCAATGGTGCCACCAAAGATTCGTAAACAATAAAGCTCAAAACCAAACTTTACATAACGATAGCAATCCTTTTATTTGTCGCAGGGAATGCCTGAATAATATCATCACCAACTACATATTATATATGATGGAGCCATAAAACGAAAATTTTAGTACTGATTTCCTTTCCAAGGGTAAAAGCTTGCTTGCAATACTGTAGCATTTAAGTTATTTATTGATGCAAAATAGCGACCAGGTCAAGTCCCATGGAAACTTAGAACTTTTCATGACCATTATGTTCCGAAGTACTAAATTTTTTAATCTGCAAACATGAAGAAATACATACCTCGGCTTCATCCTTGGTCATTCCTTCTTTCCATGCTTGATCGAAAAATCCATACAAGTAACTGGAGCCAGATCCTACAAAACGAAATATTATGTTAAGCCAAACTCTAGGGAAACACTATCAAACTGAACATCCTTGGAAGGCAAAATCACATTTAAAAGTTTAAAACTTCCAAACAGAAACTTCCAAGTTTTCAAGCTACAAAATATGATATGGAAACCAATCGCAATGACGTGGGGATAATAGGGATATCATATCTGAACATAACCCTTGTTTTGGCCGGTATATATAAGTTGTTGATCCCTCAAATTCCATTCATTGACCCCAAAATGAATTACTGAAATGTCATTGAGGCACATCCAGCATTACCAATCAGTTTCATTCTACTAAATCGAGTTTGATAATTGCCCAAAAAGTATCTCGATTATGCGTGTCCATAAGTATCAAAGAAGACTTCAAAGCCAAGTCATAAGTCACTAAAGATCCTATTTCAATCAAACAAATCCTATGACTTTCTTTTTTGTACAAGCAGTGCAATTTCATCCCACAACCGTAGCAGCTCAGTTAGAAACACAAATTTGACACTCAGTTGGAAAATCCAGCATAACATACCTCCAATGGCAAAGGGCAGCTCTAGCAGTGTGCCACCAAGAGGAATTCCATAAATCTTACCGCCTTCGTACTTGTCCCAGCCGCCAACAATCAACCCAGTTTCCAACATATTCTGCCAAATCCAAAACATCACAAGACTACAAACAAAATCTAACACAACAATACCAACAAACAAGGAACTAAAACAGTAAAATAAAAAACCAACCTTGTTGCCATAAGACAGCAGCCTGACGAGGTTTGCACAAACTTTCACAGTCGCAGGTTGGCCAAGCTGAATGCTGAGAAAACACAAACCCGTCAGGAAAAAAAATCAAAGGAGAATCATAAAAAGGAAAAGAATTGCAGAACAAAATAAGGAAACACTGACGTGTGCTGATGGAGGAAGTAGCGCACGTAGTCGGAAACAACTTGGGAATCGGCAGCCTGGGAAACCCAAAAGGGGAAAACGTTGGAATAGTCGAAAAAAATTAACAAATTGATGATACTGAACTGAAAGGAGTGAAATTGACAATATGGGTACCGATCCAGAGCGGCAGACGTAGACATTGTCGGTGAGCTGGGTGATTTTGTCGGAGGCGCGATTGGCCACGTACACTCCTGCAAGAATCAAAAGGCGATTTGGGTGAGTGTTGAAAGTGAAAAATCAGCTTAGGGTTTTGGTGGAGGAGAGAGTGAGGAGATTTACCGGTGCTGGTACGAGAGTCGGCGGCGAGTACGACGCCTCCGTCGTAGGTGACGCCAATGATGGTGGTACCCATGGAGTGAGGGGCGTTGAGATCCATGTCGGAAGAAGCCATAACGAATCAAAGGTTGGGTTTTTCAGAGGAAATTGAATTTGCAGAGAAAGAGAGAGGAGGGGCTTTTGTTAAAGCTGACTTAGTGCACAAGTATAAACGTCCGATACTACGTCAATTTAATCACTACTATTCGATGTCAATTTATCCTATCCGGTAAAAATAATCAGTGCAGTCCGAGCTGCCGGCTGCCAAGCCTGTGCACAAGCTCTTTGGATTATCAATATTATGTGGGTTTTGCTGTTCAAAAAAAAAATAATAATATTATGTGGGTTTTGGGTCATTTGGCCCAACAGATGAGGAGAAGAATATATCTAGAAATTAACTCTCCGTGAATGCAGTTCCAATTTGAACTTTTTGGGTTGAAGCGTTGAGTTCGAGTTGTGGGAGCATTTTAAGTTTTAACAAACATATAGTAGTGCTGAGTCCATGACCATTTATTCCTCTGAAAAAGAAAACCCTAACAAAATCCAAAAAAAAAAAAAACCCAAACTAATATGGGGATGTTTTTCATTTGTTAACTCCTTAGGTGGCTTCACGATGGGGGTTTGTCATTGAACTGGTAAATTACAAAGATTGAACACCTTTCTTATTTAGAAGATTTAAACTTTTATTAGAAGCATGTATCAGCGGCTGGAATTGAATGTCATCAGCGAATCGATGATCAAAACTCTTGCTCGGCGAATATCTGGTTCCAGGCTCCAAATTAACCAAAATTTAGAACTCCCTGGAATTTAACATTACATTATCTGTTTTGGTTTCAGATTTTTGTATACAACAAAGGAAAACGGAAGCATAAAAGTATCTGTATTTGAAGCGTTACAAGTCCATGAAGCATCAAAATAGATGTTTAATTAGCTTTATTTTGTTGTATAGTAACAGGAATACAACAACAACAATATTAATACAAGTCAGTCAAAGTTCTTTGATCAGAGTAACAACCATTTCACTTCCAGATCTTGACAAACGTATCGTGACTAGCCGAAGAAATCAAACCTGTAACAGTTGACACCGCCAAAGAATCAATGAGTCCTTCATGTGCTGGTAGAGTCATTGTCTTGTTCTCTGTCATGTTCCATAACTCCAGTGTCTGCAATTATTTTCCCCAAATAAAAATCAAAATATGATATCTTGCAGCAACACTAGTACCAGTAAAGGATAGTTTCTCCCGTGTAAAATGGGAACAAATATCCGAACGGCTTAAGAGAGTAGTGGTCTCCAAGCAAAAAATGTAACGAACATTATATAAGAACAATAATGCATTGACTTGCCTGATAGCAGCCAATGACCAGCAGTGAAGTATATGTAGGATGGAAAACGCATGAATGAAATTTATTTCCGATGCAGCTAAACTCATGAACGCATTCCACTTCGCTTCCTGCTCCAAGTGTCCAAACTCTTACAGAGTCCTCGCTGACAGATGCAAGGAATTCGCCAGAAGGATCCCAACACACAGAATGGATAGGCTTAGTATGCCCCTGCATTCAAAACCAAATTCCAAGTAAAGCAGTTGAGAATTCACATGATAATATTACATGATCCGTTTAAATTACAACTATGAAAGAAAAATTATAGTGAGACAAAATGTTAGATTGACCTGTAAAGAATACTGACAAGTCTGAGTCTCAACATCCAGTATAGATACAACATTCTCTGCGGCTGCAGCAAGAAATTTTCCAAGACGGGGTTGAAATCTTATTTGTGCCGTACCACCCTAATACGTTCTTGCATATCAGAATCACCAAAACGTATATAATATGAAAACCACCACTACCCCACCCCCATCAACTTCCTGCATCCCAGAAGACAAGATTCTACCTTAGACACGCACGAGCAGCAGCCATTGTTAATACTCCAGTAGCGTATCTGACCATCCCCGTCACAAGAACAGATGAGGTCGTCTTTATTTGGGTGGAAATCTAATGACATAACAGAGGCCGAATGTCCCATAAAGGTACGGAGAGAATAACTAGGCTGCAGAATAAAAACATAAAGAAGGCTTGATACAGCATGTCACAAAAGATAAATCATCTTTTTAAGAATAGAGGCACAAACTCAGCACCCGAGCAATGAAGCATATAGATGAACTCATAATGGCAAAGATTACAGAATGTATGATAGAAATCAAACTAGAAGTATGTATACTTGTTTGATTACTCAAACAAGTCTTCAAATCTCGAATCAATAGGTTAAAATCAGACTATAAGCTAAGTAGATGATAAGGACAGAAGAATTTTTCACTAACATTGTCGGCATCCCAAACCCTGATAGTCTTGTCGAAAGAAGACGTTGCAAGACATGGCTTGCTCGGACTAAAACGAACATCAGTTATCAAAGCTGAATGTTCTTGTAGCGTACATTTTAGCTTTAATGTATCTGTGTACCACAATACAGCCTGCATAATACACATGTCAAGAACACACTAAATAAGTACAAGCATCAACCAACAAAGTAAACGTTATAGCTTTTAAGAAGTAAACTAAACAAACAATTTTACACGTTAATGTTCGGGAAGAATCAATTAACCAATATGTAGCAGCAGTTCTGAATCCTCCCACAGAAGTTATTAGCAATTTCAACATTCATTCACTCACCCTTTTATCATGGCCCCCACTAGCAAGAAACTTCCCATCTGATGAGAAGTGACAGCTTGTAACCTTGCTTGCGCTTGCTTTAATAGAGTTTACTTCCGTAAATGTGAACCCTGCAGTCAAATTCAAATTCTGAGCCCTCAAAGTAAACAATAGTAGCCGCAAACAACCAGGTTTACTTATTTTAATTATTTAAAAAGAAAAAAAATAACTATGATGAACAAAATAACACTTACAAATGCAATTCCCTGAAACCAAGTACACAACCAAAAAGATGCAGTTGAAAAGAAAGGTTGCAGAAAAATTGGTTGACAGATTTTTTATTAGTTGACCGTATGATAAGTTACATCTACATTCTCTCCTTTGAATGTTTACGAAGATAAGAAGAACAAGTACACTGTTTGTGGACAACACAATTATATATGCGAATAAATATTGACAAAAGAAAAAAGACAAAGATCATTAATTGAGACCTGTGAGTCAATACCGATGACTTGCAGTGTCCTGGTTTTTATGAATGTATATATCTAATATTCAAGAAAATGCGAAAGAATTGCATTGTAGGTGAGAAAATACTGGCAGATACTACGTTCAGGATGATGTTAAACAAAGACTTCATTCAACAACATGGCCCCCACCGCACCTTTGCTGACATCCATACATCGACCAACAGCATCTCTACGATCCACATCATCAGGGGATAAAAAAGACTCGACATTATCACCAACAGACCCATCCTGTACAAATCGATCCATATCAGCCTGCATTCAAGATCTTTATCATCCCACTGCCAAAATGGAATCCCAATGAGAATCCGTGCAAGGAATTGCCAATTCCTTCTAATACAAGAAGATGAAGAAATCACTCACCAACTGATGCGATGGTGATGTAAGAAGCTTAAATTGCATAGGCAAAACTGTATAAGAAGCTTCCCCAAGAATTCTCGACAATGTGTAAATAAAAAATTGAACAATTACTATTCTACAAGGTTGTAAGTTTGATAAGCAATACAAGCCTGAGTTAATTGACCAAGAAAGAGTTCATAATAAATAACCATAAAAGGACAGACCGGATCATTTCCTCGAAAAGAGTTCGACATGCTACCATCCATAGTGATGCTGCCAGCACCCCCCATTTTATCTTGCTGATGGGGATTGAGATTTGAATTTTGTGACTGCTGATTAGAAAGAGCGTGCTGTTGAAGCTGTTGCTGTTGCTGTTGCTGTTGCTGTTGAGGATTGCTGTTTTGTTGCTGCTGAAGTTGAGCCATTTTTAACTACAAACAAACAAACACTCTCAGAAGCCAAAGAGAATGAACTGTTTGATAATATGTCGAAGTACAGAGGGGGTAAACTCTGCCACCATAACAATTACAACTACAAGTGAAATAGACAGAGATTGGAGCACCTTAGTCAGCCTATCTGTATCTCTACTTTCATCATTGGCAGCAGACGGTGATGTCATATTTTGCTGAGCAAGCATAAGTTGCTGGTGTTGTGGTGTCAACATCTGAAGCTGATGAAAGGGCTGGGGAGCTTGTATGAAAGGTTTCGGTTGCTGAAGTAGTCCACAGTGAAGCTGCTCCAAACCCTAACAAGGAGAAAAACAGTTGTAGAGTATTAATGGGTGATACTCTAAGCTTCGGAAATGCAACCAAATAGACGATAGAGATTTTAAATTTAAACGAACATTGGTTGCTTCAAGATTCTAAACTATAAAAACTAATGTAAATATTGTTTAATGTTTATTTTACGATAAAAGAAATTCATTTAAATTCATTTAGGCTCTTGCCTAGATCTCGTCTAGGCGCATGGTTGTTAGGTCTCAGTTTGATGCTTGACTAGTGTCTAACGTTTTATGGAATATAATCCTAGCCAATTTAAGTTTCTTACATTGGCTTTAATATACCGCTTACAACCGTTTTGGTAAAGAAATTATTTTCTATTATGAATATTGACTCAAAATCGCACTTTCCAATATAAAAGCAACAGCTTCAATTGAACCTTACACTTATTTGAATTTTATCCCTCCCTTCGACAAATCCTGTCGCCGCTCTGCACACGTGCACCCCTTTGTACGTTACGGTCAGCATCGCTGGATCATCCGGGTCGCGCTCCACCTGTTTTGTGGCCCGGCACCCCTGCGTGAATCTGTATGTGCACCTGTAATATGATCTGATAAACAAAAACAATTAAGCAAACATCATATTCAATTCTCACCGTTCGATAATATCATCCAACCTCCTATTTTTCATTTGATTACAAATCTACGATTGAGATTTAAATTCAGTGCCTTGGATGTGACGAGCCGAGCACATCCTTTTGACCGTACTTGCACCAGCTATACCCGTCTTCAGAACGATCCGCCGGCACCCGAACTTTGCTGAATTACCAAAAATCACAACAATTAATTACTATTCCAATGTGGAATTTCTAAAATACACCAGGCGCAACTTATCGTGTTAGCGTCAACGCATGCTACAACAATTAATGGCCCAGCAACATAGCCCGTCGACCCGAGACAGACCGGGTCCATTAAGTGAAACCGAGTTGAATTGTTCGAGTCAACCCGCTTACTGGGATAGTCGAACCAATTTTCATGGTTTGTTCATCCTTAATCGGGACTATGACCGTGAGAGGATGCGTATTTTAGCTGGGGAGAGGAATAGAACGCAAAAATGCGCTGTTAGTGAATGACGCGTACCCTATCTCCGAAGGCTTGCGTGAGGTACCGTCAGAGCGGTCGGGCTCGTGATGCGTCTTTTTCAACGGCGCCAAAGAGAAGGGAGAGCTGGCGCTAGACACGGAAGAAGCTATATCTGTGTGCTCGGTAGAATCGATATCTTCGAGCTTGGGAGAATCTAATCTTTGAAGCTCGGAAGAAGATATTCCAACTGTGATCCCGGCAATGATTTCCCTTATGAACGTTCCTTCGTACCTGGTAGGTAAATTTGAGAATGAAGCAAAAGTACGTAAGATTTATTAGCAACTACAAGATTAAATAAACTAAGGGCAAGCGACATACACACTAAGGGCAGGGGTAAGGGTTTGAATCGTGAATCTAGTGAGTTGTTGAAGAATATCTCAACCACCATGGCAATTCACCACTTACCGCTTACCATCTATTAATTTTTGTTTTCATTTTTTATGAAAATTGAAAACTTGTTTTGTAACTAAAAACTAAAAACGAAATAGTTATCAAATGACTCCTAGGTTTTGTACTACAGTGTTTAATATCAAAGATTTCAATCCATACTCACAATCATTTTATAGGTTATTCATGTGGGCAATTAACAACCTTCTTTTTTAACGTGAAATGTTAAGCAGTTTTATTAGAATCTTAAGGAAATGTACAAAAATCAAAGAGGTAATTTTGGCAAGTTGTTTGTAACTTAGTTGGTTAACAACATTTGCCTTTGCACTCAAGGTCCTTGTTGTGTGTTACAGCTCAAAATTAGAATGATGTAGAAATTAGTTTTGTGTTACCTATCTCATCTTGGTGTGCATTTGGGTTTTGGATTTGACTTCTTGGTTGGATTTTCTATTTGGTAAAAAGATTTTGTTAATTACCTATTTGATTAGGATTTGGATTTACATCCAATTAGGATTAAGATTCTCATTCTAACCTAAGTCATATGCATTATAAATAGGACCTTAGGGTTTAGTTTATTTTGTGTGCCTTCACCATTGGTATAGAGAATTTTCTCTAATTGGGTTTTGGGGTGGAGGTTAGCATTTGAAGTCATGAGTGCAGGCAAACGTCATGGCGCATTCGTTTGGCAATTCGTGAGAACCAATCTGTGAGTTAGAGAATGATTTGGGAGAATCTTCTCAGTTTGTTTTGGGTTCTCTACTCGTTTGGTTTAGGGTTTGTAATTTGTAAAATTTGGGTAGTGAGAGTTACACTCATTTGTAATCTTCGTTTTTTTAGTGAAATGTTAAGCATTTTTATTATAATCTTAAGAAAATGTACAAAATTCAAAGAGGTAATTTTGGCAAGTGACTTGTAACTCAATTGGTTAAGAGTATTTGCCCTTGCACTTGAGATCCCATATTCAAATCCTCATTTTCATAAAAGGTAATCCTGAAGTAAATTTAAAGGGTCCTCAAACAAAAAAGGCTTCAAACAACAAAAGAAGGTCAATTTGGCCAAACTAATAGCCACCATATTGGCATCAAATTTATAATACGACAAAACACGACAAGCAACAAAAGAACACATCCATCACTCAAAAGTCAAAAGAACTTCAATCTTGAAAACTAAAAATTCAATCACGTTTTATACAACACACCACATTAGAGATTATGCACACAAAATCACCAACAAAATTAGTAAGGGAACACCTTTGCATAAAAAAGCACCGACTCCAAATAGAAATGCAAAAGATACAAAAGATTCTTCACACCCCTAACTGCCATTGAAACTACTGGTTACATCAGGTTAGACCGCACCAACACCAACATGAGACACTAACAAAAGACAAAAGTCCAAAAGAGCAAAGACAAGCCGCACTAACATCTATAAAACTCACACTACAAAAACCCAATCTTTTACTAAGCCCACACTACTAAACAACCAAAACCCTAAACAAATCCAAAAGTTTGGCCTCGTTTGACATCCCGTATAAGGGATCGAATAGGATAAATAATACGTTTCTGGGTATTTGGTGTAATTGTGTACTAAATAGTACTCATATAATTTCTACGGTCGCACCTTTTAGTCCAATTCACACCTGATTTATCTCTCGTTCTCTCTATTTTCTTCTCCAATTTGTCTCATGCACATCAGAAACACGAATAATCAGCTACCCACCTACCTCGTAGGTGACGTTGAGAGCACCATCCTTTCCCTCTCCGTCAGCCTAACCGCAACTTCTCCCATCCCAAGATCCATTCTCGTCCTCACACATCGACATCGGCTATGTATCGAACCCATTCCTCCTCATCTTTCTGACTGTGTTCTTTCTCATCCGTCATTCATGGTGTTCTTGTGAACCCAGTCGCAACACTCCGACAATAAATGTGGCCATCAGGATTTCCTCTTTCAGATCTACTTTGAGTTTTGAGTTTCAATTCTTGGTAAAGATTGAGCAACTGCAATTTTTGGTTGTATTTGAGTGGAGATAGATGAGTTGGGTTTGCATTTGGTTGGGTGAAAAGCAAAGGTGCTGCGAGGAAGATGGAGAATTTTTGGCTTTTCTGTGTGAAAAGCAAAGGTCTGGGCAAATCTGGTATTATCATGACAGAGTTTTTGTTTTGGATGAAATTAATCAAAGTTGAGGCACCCAAATTTTTATCTAAAATTAGATTTATAATTTATCTTCTCAACAATTATCTTTTTAAAATTAATTTTGTATAAAAAATAATTACAGTATGATGATCGGCACAATATCAAACATTGTATTAAAAATTTTAATCTGGCAAAGCACCAAATGTCCGACTAATATAGCCAATACTATTCGATGACTAATTATCCTATCCGACTGAAATAGTCAGCACAGTGCTAAATCATAAGTGCCACCACCCCCCATGTGAATGAGCGCAGCTATCAGGCCACACACATCTAGAAGAAACAATTGGAGAACAAGCTCATATATCTTTAGAAGGCTTGAACTCTAGCAATTCAACTTTGACATTAAATTTAGAGAAATTGATGAAATTTAAAAGGAGAATTTCGGGAGAAGAATTGGATTGAAAAAGAGATAAAAAAATAAAGGACAAGGATTGTCTGTCCTCCATTTCCGATTCCCTTCCCGTGCCCTCCTGTTTTGTATGATCACGGTTAAGCCACATCAACATTTTATATTGTTTTTTAATAGATATAATAAGATAAAAATGAATAGTAATATAAAATGTTGACATAGTTTAACCGTGACCATACAAACAGAGGACATGAAAATGGCACCGAAAGTGAAGGGCAGACAATCCTTGTCCAAAAATAAATGACAGAGAACTCAAATCTAAGCATGACTGTTAATGACGATTTAAAGAAATAATGAACAAACAAACAGAGAAAAGTACGTACTTACCCATTAGTCGTTCTGAAAACCCGGACTGCCAAACCTGGAGCTGCAGTAAGGCATCTGTCCAGTCTGTCAAACCTGCAGCTGCAGTAAGAGCATCTGTCCACCGCAGTAGCTTTTCTTGTATATCTGTATCTTCATGGAAGCGCTCTCTATGCTTCTGAAATGCTAGTACGAAAGTAGCTATAACATCTGACGGACTCAGATCGTAGAATATTGGCAGAACCATTTGCTTCAGTGTTCTTCTGCACTCTATGATCTGCACCAGCTCCTCAAGACACCAGATGGAATCCGCATACCTACTTGAGAAGACGATGACCGAAACCTTAGACCCTTCGATTATTTGCTTCACTTTCTCTGATATATTTTCCCCTCTTCTTATTGATTCGTTCTCCTCCATAAAGAAGTCAACTCCGGCGTCTTTCATTGTCCAGTAGAGGTGGTCCGTGAAGGTTTTGCGCGTGTCTTCGCCAAAGCTCAAGAACACATCGTAGGGTGAGGAGGAGGAGGTGGTGGAGGAGGAGGAGGACGGTGAAGATGAAGATGAGGCTTCAAGGGCTGTACTTGTATCCATAACTGCTTACTGCAAAATTAATGATTAATTCAAGTCAGATCACCCTTCATTTCTTCATTTCATTTCAGTCCATAAAAAAAGAGAAGTGCTTTTCTATGTACATAATTGGATCGAAGTGCGCAGATCCGCTCGCCCAAGGTGAAATGAAATACGATGGCTTTTCATAAAAGCAAATAAACTATTAATCGAAAACAGAGGAAAAAACCTGCATGATCCTTCAGGCCACGCCTAATTCCCCAATTTACAAGATGAAAGATTTGCAGAGGAAGAAAGAAAGAAAGAGGGAGGAGATGGAGAGCTGGATATATAGGCAAATATACTTCTTTGCCTCTTTCCTTCCGTTGAGGTTAAGGGATCTTCAAATAATTATATTTGAGGGACACGTTGTGATGCTTATTCTAGAATCTTGTTCATCGATTTAAATGATATGTATTTTAGACATTAATTATAGATTATTATTGCAAAAAATTAGACAAATTCAATAGCGTTAAGATATTCAATTATAATAAAGAAAATAAAAGTGTGTTTGCTTGACAAAACTAACTTTCATTAAACTAGATTGGACTAGACTAACAACTAGTGTAATCGCGTGTTTGGCGCAGCAAAAGATAACTTAAATTACGCTAGCTTAGACTTGCTTGACTTCGTGCCTCGCTAGCTAATGCCGGCCGAAAATATGGTATTAGTTAAGAGTCTATATGTGGATGCCCACTTGTCTTCCCCAAATTCGTCTCAAGCGGGCTTTTTAAGTGACCGCAACCCTCAACGACCTAAAATCTTAGAATTATGTTACCACCCAAAATCTGATTACCAACCATAATCCACTTACCACCTAGGGAGTTGGACGGCAAAAGAGGCAAAGGGAAGAGAGAGGAAAGCTTGTTCCAACTTCGAGATGACGGAATTGGGATTGATCGTAGGATCATAGAGGGGATTTAGAGGGAGGAGTTGGGGTTTCTTGGGGGAATAGGGAATTTTGGAGGAACAATAATCAGTTTGACTCGAATGATTTGTAGAGGAACTCAACTTTCTCGGATCCATCCCACACATGCAATTTCTTTTCCATCAATGTAATCTACAATTTGTACTTGAATTCCTATTTTGTCTGTTCAATTAATTCAATAGTTTTTTTTTTATTGCTTTGTGATATGAAACTCTATTATTTAATTGTCTGACTATAAATTAAGTGCCCGTAAGGATTTGCAATTCTTATAATAACAATGTTAAGTCTTCATTTTTTATCATGATAATTTCAATCGCGTGTGTGCAACCGAGAGAGAAAAAAGCAATGCAACTTGGGAGAAACATATGGAGGAAAATATAATAGAGAGTTCTAGAAAAAATAACAAAAAAGAAAAGGCAAACGAAAAGGAGAAAGAAAAAGAAAAAGAAAAAATGAAAAATAATAGAGAGTCATAGAAAAAATAAAAAGAAAAAGGAAAAGAAAAAGGAAAAGAAAAAGAAAATGCAAACGAAAAGGCAAAAGAAAAAGAAAAAGTAAAAGTAAAAAGAAAAAGTGAAAAGAAAAGAAAAAGGAAAAGAAAAAGAAAATTTAAAAGAAGAAAATTGAAAAAAGAAAAATTCAGAAAGAAAATTTAGTCTAAACAGTAATTAAGTAAATTAAAAGCTTATAGCTCTAAGTATTCTAAATTAATTCTAATTAATTCTTATAGGTATTAAAAGCTTTATCAAATTAGTCTAACTTAGTCTATTTAAAAAAATTCAGTTTTCAAAAAATTAATATTCAGTTCGAGATAGTCTGTTATAATAAACTCACCTTAGATGAATACGAATACAATTTTTCAAAGAGATACTAATAGTACTACTAGTTAGATTTGCAATTCTTATAATAACAATGTTAAGTCTTTATTTTTTATCATGATAATTTCAATCGCGTGTGTGCAACCGAGAGAGAAAAAAGCAATGCAACTTGGGAGAAACATATGGAGGAAAATATAATAGAGAGTTCTAGAAAAAATAACAAAAAAGAAAAGGCAAACGAAAAGGCAAAAGAAAAAGAAAAAGAAAAAGAAAAAAATGAAAAATAATAAAGAGTCCTAGAAAAAAGAAAAAGAAAAAGAAAAGGCGAACGAAAAGGCAAAAGAAAAAGAAAAGGTAAAAGTAAAAAGAAAAGGAAAAAAATGGAAAAGCTTTCTACTTTAATATTGTATCAAAAGCTTTATCAAATTAGTCTAACTTAGTTTATTCTAAATTAATTCAGCTTAGTTTTTGAAATTAATTCAGTTCGAGATAGTCTGTTATAATAAACTCACCTTAGATGAATATGAATACAATTTTTCAAAGAGATACTAATAGTACTACTATTTAGATTTGAGATTTGAGTGATTTTTTATAGAAATGATCATTGAGGAAAGATGTACAAGATGAACGATTAGATCATTAAAATATGATGTGGAGTGGACCCTATAAGGGATTCCTCAAATAAGCCTTAACGGAAGGGACGTGCATGCTCCACTTGGCTAGGGAGGAGATAGCTCAGTTGATAGAGCTCCACTCTTGCAATAGGGTTGTTGCGATTATGGGTTGAAGTCTAATTGTCCAAGCGGTAATGATAGTATCTTGTATATGAATTGGTGGCTCACTTCTTTAAGTAAAGGGGAAGAGGACTAAAACAAGTACTGAAAGACTCTAAAACATAATTGTAAAGGAACAAAGAAGTATTGTCTTTTTTATTGGCACTTTAAAAATATAATTGTCGTTGAAGAACTCTAAAATTTTGATTGTACACCAAGAAGTGCACAATTAGGCTATAGGTAAAATGTCATTTGACCCATTGAACTATTTCTCCAGTTGAAATTAAACCCTTAAACTATTTTTTTTGGTGAATTAACCCTCTAAACTATGAAACAAGAAAATTGACCTCTTGTTGGTAGATTTCATCCATTATTTCATCAATTTCAAAGGAAAATTAGCCTTTCCTTCATCAATTCTTACTTGTTAATTATAACCAACAATGTAACTATAACATGTGAAACCAAAATAATGTGTAATGATAATGTGAGATGATCCGTTATGTAAACGTTTGGTTTTTTATGTTTTCTCATTATGCTATATATATTTTAATTATTTTGTATTCATGTGTCAAAATTTTATTAGCAGTTATAGTCGACAAATAATAATTAATGATGGAATGACTAATTTATCTTTGAATTCGATGGAATTGATTTCACAATCTAACTACAAAGAATTAATCGACTGATTTTAAATAATTTGGATTTTTCAAAAAAAAAAAAGTTTAGGAGATCAATTTCACTGGATTGGAAAAATATGACAAAAGTGGGAAACACTTTCCCTTCGTGACTTAGGGAGACTGAAGGGTCACTGAAGCGAGTAGTTGACTTGGTATTTGCAGATCATCTGGGAAAACCACAAGCTCTGCCAACAACAATCCATGGATACTACCATCACAGCTGACGATCCCTCCTCTGCATCTTCACCCTCCTCCTCGAAACAATGGAAGTACGACGTGTTCTTGAGCTTTAGAGGCGAAGACACCCGCCGGACCTTCACCGACAACCTCTACTGTACATTAAAAGACTACAAAGTCAAGGTCTTCATTGACGAGAACGAACTTCCAAGAGGAGAAAACATAACAGATGAACTGGTGACAGCGATCAGACGGTCCAGGATGTCCGTCGTCATCTTCTCGAAACGGTACGCGGAATCCCGATGGTGCCTTGAGGAGCTGGAGAAGATCATGGAGTGCAGAAGAACACGTGGGCAAATTGTTCTGCCAATATTCTACAACGTCGATCCGACGGATGTTAGGAACCAGACTGGTAGTGTTGCAGAAGCATTTCAGAAGCATGCAGAGCGCTTCCATGGAGATATAGATAAAGTCCAGAGGTGGAGATCTGCTTTTACTGAAGCTGCAAATTTGTGTGGTGGGAGCCTTAGAAACACTGATGGGTAATTTCTCTGTTACTTTTTAACTTACTGTTTTTACATACATAGCATATAATTTACAGGATGATGTATTACAAGTGTGGAACCAGAAATTTGTACCAGGGTGGGCTAGCAAATTGTTATAGGGTGACTTGTTGGTTGCTAAAAAGAATTTTCGACGAAAATTCAAGAGATAATATGGAGAAATCAATGAAACAATAGAGAGTTAAGATTAAAAACCAGAGTCATAAGGGGATTGTTTTAATAAATTGAGTAAAGATACAAATTAACTTGACTTAGGCTTAATTTGTGTGAGTTACACTTTAAGATATATATTGATATGCGGATTATATTCGAACTTTTCACGAAAAAAAATACCTGGATTATATCCCATGGGGTAGCCGTCATGCTAGTTATGACGTTGATGTATTAGTTTCGGTTTAGCAACCTTTAATTGCCAACTTCATGTGTTGGCTTTTCGTAAGCCTCTATTTACAAAATGTGAATAAACTAAAGAATGACAGGGCTTAGATCCTTGATCAGTTTACACATTGTAATGCTGCTAATGCAAAGATTAAAAACCTGATGTGTGTGTCTGAGAGAGAGAGAGAGAGAGAGAGAGAGAGAGAGAGAGAGAGAGAGAGAGTATTTCTAAACGCTTGATCTATCAGTTTGGTCGAATTGAGCTATTGAGCTAATCACTTGGATCAATATAATGCGCCATTGTTTGTTCGAAGGATTGTTCTCAGAAGCTGAACCATATATTCAAATTCTATTCGCTTCCAAAAGCTATTATCATGTACGAAGGTTATTAGTTGAGTTTAATCCTGCAGTTTATGATTCTTACTTTGGAAATTTTTGTTAACAGGTATGAAGGTAAGTTTATAAGGAAAATTGTCAACGACATCACGAGGAAACTGAACAACACATACTTAAACGTAGCCGCCAAAGAAATTGGAATAGATTCTCGTGTGCAAGAAATCATCAATGATTTAGATGTTGGAGGATCAAATGATGTTCGCATTGTTGGAATTTTGGGCATGGTCGGAACGGGGAAGACAACGGTTGCAAAAGCCATTTTCAATAGAGTTCATCAAAGCTTTGAAGGTAAAAGTTTCCTTTCAAAAGTGAGGGAAGAGAGTATGGTTAAACTGCAAAACCAACTTCTTTGTGATATCTTGAAACCGGCCAACATAGAGGTAAGTAGTGTAGATCAAGGAACCAAGGAGATACAAAAAAGACTTGGCAGCATAAGGGTACTTGTCATAATTGATGACATAGACTGTGTGGGACAACTAGAAGAGTTAGCTATAAAACACGAGTCGTTTGGTAGAGGGAGTAGAATTATTGTAACAACAAGAGATGAACAATTGCTAAAGTTCATTAGAGTCGATAAGACGTGTTTGGCACAAACAATGAATAATGAAGAAGCTCTTCAGCTCCTTAGTTGGCGTGCCTTCAAGAAGAGTCATCCTAATGATGATGAATATCTTGAACTCGCAAAAAAGGTTATTGATTACTGTGGAGGGTTGCCACTAGCGCTTGAAGTTTTAGGTTCTTATCTAAGTTCAAAAACCAAAAGAGAATGGAGAAGTGCACTGCGCAAATTGAAAAGAAAGCCTCACGGGAAGATTTATGAAAAGCTTAAAATGAGCTATGATGGACTAATTGACGATGATGTGAAGGCTATATTCCTTGACATATCTTGTTTCTTTATTGGAACGAACAAGGACTATGTCATGACAATATTAGATGGCTGTGACTTCGACCCAGATATAGGAATTGGGGAACTCCATGATCGGTGCCTTGTAACTGTTGATGAAGGAAACAACCTTATAATGCATGATTTGCTTTGAGATATGGGCAGAGAAATTGTACGTGCAAAATCTCCTACCATCACTGGAAAACGTTGTAGATTGTGGGACCAGGATGATGTAAAAGACGTATTGAGGAACAAATCTGTAAGTACATTTGCATTCAAATTGTATTATAAGAATGTATGCAATGAAGGATAAGTGTATGCATATCCCACATACAAATAACCCTTTTCTTATTTAGTTCTTGATGGATCCAATTCATGGCTTTGCTTCATGTGTATAAATCGTCTTTTCGCAGCCCCCTTCTTACCTAATTTTGTTTTCTTTTCTAACAGGGAACAGAGGACGTTGAAGGTCTCACTTTAGATTTGCGAGAATCTGACGAGCCTAGCTTCAGTACAGAAGCACTTAGAGAGATGCGGAGACTGAGGTTGCTCGTACTCAAAGGTGTAAAGTTCACTGGAAACTGCACATATCTCTCCAAAAAGCTAACATGGTTGTGTTGGCCTGAGTTTCCTCTAGAGGTCATGCCAGAAGATTTTAATCCACCAAACCTAGTTGATGTCAACCTGACTCATAGCCAAATGCAAGTTTGGAAGGACCCTGACGCGGTACTGCATAATTTCATCCAAACTATTGATTCTTTCTTCTAGGTTTTGTACTGACAAGACATCATGTTTTCTCTCTTCTGTTTGGATTTTAATTTATGTTTTCGTTTTTGTCTTACAGAGGCTTGAGAAATTGAAGTTTCTTAATCTGGGTTATTGCTGTCGCCTAAAATGGTCACCAGACTTTTCAAAACTCCCCAATATCGAGAGATTGATACTCAGAGACTGCACGAGTTTGTCCAAGATTCACCCGTCCATAGTACAACTGAAGTGCCTTAAATATCTCTCTCTTGCGAACTCCAATTTAATAAGTGATGCAATTCCTGAGGATCTCGGGTCTATATCTTCTTTAGAAGTTTTAGATCTAAGAGGCAATGATTTTACAGCACTACCCATCCTCACTGGCCTTTCCAAGCTTCAAACTTTACAGTTGGATAATTGCACAAAGCTTCAGGCAATTCCGGATTTACCAACAAGGTTGGAAATTCTGGAAGCGAATCAGTGTATTGCATTGGAAAGGATGCCTGATTTTTCGGAGATGTCGAGACTGAGAGAATTGCATCTGAATCACTCCCCCAAACTCACTGAGATTCCAGGCCTGGATAAGTCTTTAACCTCCATGACAAGGATTCATATGGAAGGGTGCACCAATCTCAATGATGCTTTTAAGGAAGCAATCCTACGGGTCCTCTCTCTCTCTCTCTCTCTCTCTCTCTTATGTATGCATACATGCATGTATTAATTGCTCATACAGATCTTGCTGCGCATGGTACAGGGATGGAGTGCGAGTGGAAATGGTGGCCTTTTTCTTCCTGGACCTTCATTGTTTAGGGGTGTCCAACCTAAGGAAGAAATCAATGAACATTCGCTTGACAGTGAGTCCATGTCATATTCAAGTGAATACAAGGAAGGCAGAAATGATAAAGCAGCAAGACCAGATGATGACTCATACGATGAGAATAGATCTCACAAAAGAATAAGGTTTGATCTCAGTATAGGAAGCAATGCAGAAGAAGAAACCGTTGCCGGAGAATATAATTGCATTATAGTTCAAAACCACAAAAGCTGCATGGAAGCTGGTGCGATCTTTGAGGAGGGGGGAGATGGTGGGGATGAAGAGGAGGCTCCAAGTGCTGTACTGGTATCCGTTAATTGTTCTTCAAGCGGAACTGATCAGAAGTACAAATTCGGAATCAGTTGATCTTCTGACTTGAATGTCGTGTTGTGAGCATTACTTTGCTCGGCAGAGGTTTGGTGTTGCACTTTGCACATATGGAGATTGAACTAGCAAAAGTAAGGTTCAACTCCACGTTGTTTCGATTCACAAAACGAAGTGTAAGTACATCCTCCTATCGGTGAGAGTGCTGAGACGCAGAGACACAGCGTTCTGAAACACGAATAATTTGTTTGTTCATAAATTATTAGATTGAAAAGATTGACCTTTGCCTTTATGTTAATGAATTGCTCTTTCCGAATGAGTTCATATATCACGATAATCCTACAATTATATGCAGCCGAAGAAGAATAATTAGATTATAATCTATGAGACTTGACTCATCTGCCTTCTGTAGATCATCTTTCTCAACAAGTATAGAATTGACATATCGCTTCTTAGTATCATCGGATTTCTCAAAATCTTATGCTACACTCTTTGATCTTATATGAATACAATGAATGAATTCGATATTCAATTTAAAATATTTACACTAGTGGATACCACAAAATCTTATGTTATACTTAATGAAAATATGAATAAACTTTTAAGTGTTAGTGAATCTATCATTTTGATGGGATATGTATTCTACGAAACTAATTTCAACGATCCAACAGTCAAACTTGTTTGTATATGCTTTAAGATCACATATGTCAAAAATCGCAAAAAACAAACATTCAAAGATCAAGTAACGGGACATGACTTTTTGACGGTTATCAACGAAAAATCATGATTTAACGGTTATTTTAACTCTGATTTTGATGATTTTTTACAGTTACACTCCTTGGCCGTATATGAATACAATGAATGAACTCGATCTTCAATTTAAAATATTTACACTAGTAGATAGATACCACAGAATCTTATGTTATACTTAATGAAAGTATGAATAAACTCTTAAGTGTTAGTGAATATATTGTTTTGATGGGATACGCATTCTGCGAAACTAGTTTCAACGATCCAACTGTTAAACATATTTGTATATACTTCGAGATCGCATACGCCAAAAATTGCAAAAAACAAACATTCAAAGATCAAGTAACGGGACAAAACTTTTTGACACTTGTCAACGAAAAATCATGATTTAACGGTTATTTTTAACTCTGATTTTGATGATTTTTTACATCTACACTCCTTGACCCTATATGAATACAATGAATGAACTCGATCTTCAATTTAAAATATTTACACTAGTGGATACCACAAAATCTTATGTTATACTTAATGAAAGTATGAATAAACTCTAAGTGTTAGTAAATCTATCGTTTTGATGGGATACGCATTCTACGAAACTAATTTCAACGATTCAACCATCAAACTTGTTTGTATATGCTTTAAGATCGCATATACCAAAAATTACAAAAAACAAACATTCAAAGATCAAGTAACAGGACAAAACTTTTCGACGGTTATCAACGAAAAATCACAATTTAGCGGTTATTTTAACTCCGATTTTGATGATTTTTACAGCTACACTCATTGACCATATAGGAATACAATGAATGAAATCGATCTTCAATTTAAAATATTTACACTAGTAGATAGATACCACAGAATCTTATGTTATACTTAATGAAAGTATGAATAAACTCTTAAGTGTTAGTGAATTTATTGTTTTGATAAGATATGCATTCTATTAAACTAGTTTCAACGATCCAATCGTTAAACATGTTTGTATATACTTCAAGATCGTATATGCCAAAAATTGCAAAAAAACAAACATTCAGATATCAAGTAACGGGACAAAATTTTTTTACGGTTGTCAGTGAAAAATCACGATTTAACGGTTATTTTTAACTCCGATTTTGATGATTTTTTTACATCTACACTCCTTGACCCTATATGAATATAATGAATGAACTCGATCTTCAATTTAAAATATTTACACTAGTGGATACCACAAAAACTTATGTTATAGTTAATGAAAGTATGAATAAACTCTTAAGTGTTAGTGAATCTATCGTTTTGATGGGATACGCATTCTACGAAACTAATTTCAACGATCCAACCATCAAACTTTATATGCTTCAAGATCGCTTACGCTAAAAATAGTAAAAAACAAACATTCAAAAATCAAGTAACGAGACAAAACTTTTTTACGGTTATCAACGAAAAATCATGATTTAACGGTTATTTTAACTCCAACTTTGATGATTTTTTATAACTACACTCCTTGACCCTATATGAATACAATGAATGAACTCGATCTTCAATTTAAAATATTTACACTAGTGGATACCACAAAATCTTATGTTATAGTTAATGAAAGTATGAATAAACTCTTAAGCGTTAGTGAATATATTGTATGAATAAACTCAACAATCCAACCATCAAACATGTTTGTATATACTTCGAGATCGCATACGTTAAAAATTGCAAAAAACAAACATTTAGAGATCAAGTAACGGGACAAAAAAATTTTACGATTATCAACAAAAAATCACGATTTTACGGTTATTTTAACTCGGATTTTGATGATTTTTTACAGCTACACTCCTTGACACTATATGAATACAATGAATGAATTTGATCTTCAATTTAAAATATTTATACAAGTGGATACCACAAAATCTTATGTCATGATGATTGATGAAAATTGAGGATTTTGTAAAAGGAATAACATGCAAACTTTGAGTTCTATTGGCAAGGTCTAAACTTTTGAGAAAGGCTTCACAACCTTGAAAACAAAAACTCTTTCATTTTGCATATCCTTGCACATTTAATATTTTGTAATAGACTAATAGTGTATGAATGTTTGTTTATTAAGCTCTTATTTTCGAAGTGTAAATGTAGTATTTAAACGAAAAATGTGTTTTAATGTTTTGAAGTAATATTTATGTGACAATGTGTGGTATGTGCAAATTTAAGAAAAAAATATATATTTTTCTTAACAGGTCATAACGGGTCGGGTCACTTTAATAACGGGTGTGATACGACACGACCCATTAAGATAACATGTGTTACACGAAAATGACACGAACACGACAGACACAACCTGTTTGCTAGACCTATTACCCACTTTCACTCACTTTGTCTCACACACCAACTCCATGTTCTCCGGCGCGTGCCGGTGCTCCCAATAGTACGTTACGATCAACGTCATCGGATCATTCGGAGCTCGGTCCACTTGTTTCCTCGCCGGGCACCCTTTTACCGTTATGCACCTGTAATATCCCCTGTTCAACATAAACAATTAAGCAAACGTTAGATTCAATTCTCACCGTCCGATCATATCGCATCCCGATTTTTCATTTCAATACCAAATCAACGGCTGGGATTGAAATTGAGTACCTTGGGTAAGGCGAGCCCTTGATCGGCTTTTGACCGTACTTTCTCCAAGAGTACTCATCCGTTGGAATATCATTGATTTTTGAACCTATCACCGGCACCCGAATCGTCTTCACTTGCTTTTTCCTGAATCAATTCATTGATTAATTTTTTAAATAAAAAAATCGAATATATAAACTAGTTTGGGGATTTTTAGTCGTCGGTTAAAATTAAGAGTAATATTAGGAAAATTAAATTTGTAGATAAAAATTTATAAACTAAATAATATGAAAATTAATGATTGGATTATTAATGTGTTTATTCTTATTGGTGATACATCACTTAGTTTGTAAATTTTATTTATAAAATTAGTCTCCCTAGCATTATCCTTAATTTAATGCTAGGGAGACTAATTTGTAAATAAAGGGTAATGCTAGGGAGACTAATTTGTAAACAAAATTTGCAAACTAAACGATGTGTTACCAATAGGAATGAGCATGTTTATCAACGCTTAAGTCATAATTCAATCATCAACTTCCATGTTATTTAGTTTACATAAATTTATTTACAAATTTAATCTCTGTAGCATTATTCAAAAATTAAACAACAAAAGTCTTTTTCCCAAACGTTGTGAAAAAAAAAAAAAAAACTTTTTGCTATTTGAAAGTCAAATTAATACGCCAGGCGCATCTTATTGTGTCAGCCTCAACGTGTGCTACAACCATTAATGCCCAACAACTCACCCAGGATACTAAGGGCTAGTTTGGTATTGCTGTGCTTTGAAAAAAAAGTTGCTGTGAGAATAAGCGGCTGTGAAATAAAGCAGCAGAGTGTTTGGTAAACTTTTTTGTAAAAGTGCTTTTGAAAAAAAAAGCAGTCTGATAGTGAGTCTTTTCATTAAAGGAGCATTGTAGCTCCATGTGCTTTGAAAAAAAAACCAGTTTTCCAAAGCTGCAAATAGCAGCTTCAGCTTTTTCCTTTGATTTCAGCTTATTCTCACAGCAGCTTCCAAAATAAGCCATTTTCTTTTTAGTTTACCAAACACCTAAAACCCTCACAGCTTTTTTTCATGGGTGCTTTTTTTTTAAGCACCTCACTCCCAAACCACCCCTAACTGGGTCCATTCCTGTTAGGATTGACGGTATTACATGATAAGGAAAAATAAAAAGTAAAGCAGAAAGATAGACACTAAGAATTACGTGGTTCAACAATTTTTGCTTACATCTACAAGACAACAATCAATCTTCCATTATATTAAAATAATGGACACGACAAGAACAATCTTACCAAGCCAAAGACAAGACTTGATGAATAAAAGAAAATATGACACACTCTCACACCGTTAATTTGACTCATAATTTGTGATGGAACATGCTCACTCTCAACCTTGGAGAGGAACAACTCTTAGAACTATCACTCTTAGTCTTTTGGATGATCTACAATGGTGAAATGCCACCTCTATTCATATGCATGGATGAAAAATCCTAGTGAATCCAAGAATTAAATCTTCCACTATCAATGGAAGTCAAACCACTCATGCACCATCCAATGCATTACCCTTGGAACTCCACATGTTCATGCACCACATAGAGTTCCCTGTTACCATTACATTCCCTTGAATATAGTATTCTCCAATGTTTCATTTGTTCTCAAAAGACTTCCAACATTTTTATGGTTCGTTGAGACTATGGAAAAACCAACCAACTCTTATAGTCTCGGAAACCATGCTAGAGGCGTATTTTAGATGGGGGAGAGGAAATGTAAACTAAATGCGCGGGTAATGAATGACTCGTACCTTCTGTTGGAGTTGGAGCAATGGTACTTGCCGGAGCCGGAAGCAGATCCCGTGCCAGGTAACTCGCCCGGAAGCGTAGAAAGGGGAGACATAGCGCTGGACATAAGAGATAATGCGAGCTCGGTAGAATCTATTCCTTGAAGGTCCGTAAATGCCATTCCAATTGGAGTCGGGCTTTGGAGTAGTTTAGTGATATCGTCAATAATTACCCTGATAAACATTCCTTCGTACCTGGTTGTTATATTTGAAAATGAAACAAAGGTACACAAATATTTATTAGCAACTGCAAAGATTAAATAAATTTTAAAAAATATTTTAAAAGTTTTTTGAAATGACATATAAGATCATCTCCAAAAAGGAATGTCAAATTTTGAACATGAAATTTAAATTGACAGTTATAAGGCACTTTGACATCACTCCACCTAATATGTCAAATTTTAAATATAAAATAAAAATTCATATTTATTTTCTTTGCATTTTTTTGGTTTTTTTTTAGTCAAAAAATTGTGTTAATAAGTTAAATGTTAGATTAGCCACTGACGGGGTTCGAACCCATGTCATCATGCAAGGGCACAACACCTTTCCACCACTGTGGTAAAAAGTCACTTGCATATTTATTTTCTTTACATTGGTAATGAAAGAAAATGAACTCAAAGGTATAAAAATATTAAACATTATATTGGTAATGAACGAAAAATGAAAAGACTAATAAAAAACATTTAATAATTAATTAAAAATTATTTGAAGTTATTGTTAAATTTGACAGCAACTATCTTTGTTGCCATCCCACATCAATCAAAATTTCAATTGGAAAATACTAGTGTTGTCATTTTTTACACTTATTGCTGTCATTGTTGAAAAATACTAGTGTTGTCATTTTTACACTTATTGCTGTCATTTTTTACACTTATTGCTGATGTGGACTTTGGAGATGCTCTAAATTTAAACATTTTTTTAATTTGTCATTTGAAATGTTATAAAAAATTAAGTGATTTTTCATAATAATTTTCTAAAATTATTAATTAATCATCTTACTAAGTTTTTTCAATCAAAATAAGTTATGTAAAATTGTGTTTCGAGTTATTTAAGCCATTAGAACTTTTTAACAAGTTTATTTATTTATTACACACACACACCACAAAGACGTGGAGAATAAATTAGTTTTTGACTTTTAAGTTTTAACCTCCTTTTTACAAATTCTCTACTTTATTTGGCTTGAACACAAAACTTTTGGCTGGTAAAATGAACATGCGGAATCATCTCAAACGTTTATTGTCATCTACTGAAAAAACCATTAGCCTCATGAGATTACCCACTAGGAAGATGGACAATTTTTGGCTTTTATGTGTGAGAAGCAAAGATCTGGGCAAATTTGGAAGTATCATGACAAAGTTTTTGTTTTAGGTGAAATTAATCAAAGTTGAGGCACCCAAGTTTTTATCAAAAATTAGATTTGCAGAGGAAGGAATAAGAAAGAGGGAGGAGATGGTGAGCTGGAGACAATAAGCAATATCCTTCTTGTCCGTTCACTTCCGTTGACTTTGTTTCCGTTGAGGGATCTTTAAATAATTTCATTTGAGAATGTGCTTGTTTCGTAACATTTTTTCACGATTTAAATAATTTATATTTCAGTACACTGTTTATAAATTATTTTTACAAATAATTTTTTTAAATAATTATTAAGAAGTTTAATTATAGTAAAGAAAATAGATAAATACGACTTTTTAAATAAACATAATATTAATATCATTTAATTCAACTGTTAAATAATTTCAAAATTGTTGATTTTGATAAAAACTAGCATATGGGCACATACAAAGTGTGTAAGAAATTTTTTTATTTTTCTTTTTGAAATAGAAGGAGAGGAAGAGAATGATACACTATTGGAGTGGGATTTTTTTTTTTTTTGGAACTAACGAAAAGTCTACAAAATAGAAGCGACAAAGAAGTGTATATGTGTATATTTTTTTCTATATTTTTGGTCAGGCGATATATTTTGTTAGATTAGCTATCGACAGAGTTTGAATTTACGCCGTCATGCAATGATTCAACACCTTTTCAAAGTGAACAGTGACACTTTAAAATTTGAAGGGAGTTTTAATAAAACACTCATGATACTGTTCACTTTTAATGAAAAACCACATTTATACATTTTACTAGTATTATTCACTATACCTTTAAAAATGACTTTTCATTAAAAGAGAAATTTTTTTAGATTTTTCTTTAGTTTTCCTAAAATTGAATTGTGCACAAAGAAGTGAACAATTAGATATTGTTTTTTAGTACATAGATATTTTTACATTAAGAAGATGAGGAGTTCGGCTAAACCACACAACGAGCAACCTAATTAGTATCGAATTCGTCATTCATGAGATTCGAACCTGGAACATCTCTCTTCTTACTTTCATCTCCTTCTCTCATCTCCTCTCACATTTTATTTTTTGTTTTATTATTTTTATTAAAAAAATTAATATAAAATATTGACGTGATTTATTATAACCATTCAAGTACGAAGAAAGATTAAGAAGAAAAATAATCCTCTTGGGTTGTGGACCTGACTGATGGTTACCTTTAGGTGGTTTGTTGACTTTGATTTAGGGCTTGTTTGGATGTGCTTTTAAAATGGCTGAAAGCGCTTTTAGAGAAAATATTTTTGGGTTCCAAAAGCACTTTAAGTGCTTTCTACAACAAGAAGCACCAGTTATGTGCTTCTTCCAGGAAGCACCCGTTATGTGCTTCTTCCAGGAAGCACTTTAAATAATTTTCCAAAATTTACTTGTATTTTTACTAAAGATTGGTTCCAAAATCATTTTCACCAAAAATGCTTTCAATTATTTTAAAAGCTCGTCCAAACGAGCCCTTAATTATGAGGGAAAAAGTTGGATTTAAAGCTGTGGATGGAAAAAACACTTTCCCTTCGTGATTTAGGGAGACCGAAGCGAGTAGTTGACTTGGTATTTGCAGATCATCTGGGAAACCACAAGCTCTGCCAACAACAATCCATGGATGCTACCATCACAGCTGTCGATCCCTCCTCTGCATCTTCACCCTCCTCCTCGAAACAATGGAAGCACGACGTGTTCTTGAGCTTTAGAGGCGAAGACACCCGCCGGACCTTCACCGACAACCTCTACTGGACATTAAAAGACAACAAAGTCAAGGTCTTCATTGACGAGAATGAACTTCCAAGAGGAGAAAACATAACAGATGAACTGGTGGAAGCGATCAGACGGTCCAGGATGTCCATCGTCATCTTCTCAAAACGGTACGCGGAATCCCGATGGTGCCTTGAGGAGCTTGAGAAGATCATGGAGTGCAGAAGAACACTTGGGCAAATTGTTCTACCAATATTCTACAACGTCGATCCGACGGATGTTAGGAACCAGACTGGTAGTGTTGCGGAAGCATTTCAGAAGCATGCAGAGCGCTTCCATGGAGATATAGATAAAGTCCAGAGGTGGAGATCTGCTTTTACAGAAGCTGCAAATTTGTGTGGTGGGAACCTTAGAAACACTGATGGGTAATTTCTCTGTTACTTTTTAACTTACTGTTTTTACATACATAGCATGTCTTTTACAGGATGATGCATTACAAGTGTGGAACCAGAAATTTTTACCAGGGTGGGCTAGCAAATTGGTATAGGGTGACTTGTTGGTTGCTAAAAAGAATTTTCGACGAAAATTCAAGAGATGATGTGGAGAAATCAATAAACCATAGAGACTTAAGATTAAAAACTAGAGTCATGAAGGGATTGTTTTAATAAATTGAGTAGAGATACAAATTAACTTGAGTTAGGCTTAATTTGGGTGAATTAAACTTTAAGATATATATTGAGATATGCGGATTATATTCGAACTTTTCACGAAAAAACTACCTGGATTATAGCCCGTGTTCGCCATCATGCTAGTTACGACGTTGATGTATTAGTTTCGGTTTAGCAACCTTTAATTGCCAACTTCATGTGTTGGCTTTTCTTAAGCCTCTATTACAAAATGTCAATAAACTATAAAATGAGAGGACCTAGAACCTTGATCAGTTTACACATTGTAATGCTGCTAATGCAAAGATTAGAAACCTGATGTGTGTGTGTGTGTTGTGTGTGAGAGAGAGAGAGAGAGAGAGAGAGTATTTCTAAACGCTTGATCTATCAGTTTGGTCGAATTGAGCTAATCACATGGATCAATATAATGTGCCATTGTTTGTGTTGTTATCATGAAAAAGTTATTAGTTGAGTTTAATCCTGCAGTTTATGATTCTTACTTTGGAAATTTTTGTTAACAGGTATGAAGGTAAGTTTATAAGGAAAATTGTCAACGACATCACTAGAAAACTGAACAACACGTACTTAAACGTAGCTGCCAAAGAAATTGGAATAGATTCTCGAGTGCAAGAAATCATCAATGATTTAGATGTTGGAGGATCAGATGATGTTCGCATTGTTGGAATTTTGGGCATGGTCGGAACGGGGAAGACAACGGTTGCAAAAGCCATTTTCAATAGAGTTCATCAAAGCTTTGAAGGTAAAAGTTTCCTTTCAAAAGTGAGGGAAGAGAGTATGGTTAAACTGCAAAACCAACTTCTTTGTGATATCTTGAAACCAGCCAACATAGAGGTAAGCAGTGTGGATCAAGGAACCAAGGAGATACAAAAAAGACTTGGCAGCATAAGGGTACTTGTCATAGTTGATGACATAGATTGTGTGGAACAACTAGAAGAGTTAGCTATAAAACACGAGTCGTTTGGTCGAGGGAGTAGAATTATTGTAACAACAAGAGATGAACAATTGTTAAAGTTTATCAGAGTCGATAAGACATGTTTGGCACAAACAATGAATGAAGAAGAAGCTCTTCAGCTCCTTAGTTGGCGTGCCTTTCGAAAGAGCTATCCTAATGATGAAGAATTTCTTGAACTCGCAAGAAAAGTTGTTGATTACTGTGGAGGTTTGCCACTGGCGCTTGAAGTTTTAGGTTCTTATCTAAGTTCAAAAAGCAAAAGAGAATGGAGAAGTGCACTGCGCAAATTGAAAAGAAAGCCTCACGGGAAGATTTATGAAAGCTTAAAATGAGCTACGATGGGCTAATTGATGATGACGTGAAGGCTATATTCCTTGACATATGTTGTTTCTTTATTGGAATGAACAAGGACTATGTTATGACAATATTAGATGGCTGTGACTTTGATCCAGATATAGGAATCGGAGAACTCCATGATCGGTGCCTTGTAACTGTTGATGAAGGAAACAACCTTATAATGCACGATTTGCTTCGGGATATGGGCAGAGAAATTGTACGTGAAAAATCTCCTAACATCACTGGAAAACGTTGTAGATTGTGGGATCAT